AAATCATACACCAGAAGATAAAATTTAAATACCATCAGAATATCTTGGTATGGGGATGTTCGCAATTAGACTTATACTAACTTATACAGCAGAACACCGACCTGAGAATTACCTAAAGTACTAATGTTGTAAAATACAAAACTTTATTACTGTCCCAATCTTTATTCTAAATTTTGCGCTACTTGTCAGACTATTGTTCAACTCTGTATACACAGAATTGTTCAGCTTATAATTATGAAAAATAAATTATTAATAAATAATAATTAATGAATTGTTGTTGATCTATATGTGTTTAATGAAACTTATAAAAGTAAATAATACATGCACAATTAATAACATAGCATGGGAATTTTAGTTAATTCGGATGATTGAATTAATTCGGGAGCGTGTTCTATTGATATTGAATTCGACTATTCAATTATATGTTAAATTAATAGATACAAATTTCGTTCATAATTCAAATTTCAATATGACTTAAACGTATTAGGCAGGTGAGATCAGTTATGCCTTTAACAAAAAATTTTCTTCTTCATCTTCATCTATACTAGGCATCGTTTCAGAGAAATTTAATGATATTATCATCCATATTAACAAATTCTTCATACACAAGTTGAAGATATTAATTTTAACGATTTTGTTTAATGGTAATGATGAGGAGGTATTCGTTGAAACAATTGAGGTCTGCTTATTTTCTTTCTGCCCTATTTTTGTACAACGTCTTTACTTTTGTATTCGTATCTTACTATTTTCACCGTTTTTATGCTAACACCAAGGGTTTTTACAGTTCTTAGAACTACCTTCTTAACACCCATCGCAGATTTTTTTTCTTTATCAGAAAATTTTCTATCTATCTGCTTTAGATTTTAAATATCTAAAACATTTTACCCTTTAGTTTTTCACCTAAGGGATCTTTCAGCTTATTTTTTAAAACCTGCTCTAAATCAAGGTTTTTATCATCGTTTTTTATTAGACATACATGTTCTAGTTATGCTGAAAATTGTTATCATAAATCGCTCTGTTCATGCTGTTTACTTTTACGTACAGTGGATCAATAAAGTGTTTGAACAGCTTCTCTTTAAGGAATAAGTTAGTCGAGAGCAGACACATTTGAGAAAATCCAATATACTGGGTTAAGGAAACATGCTTATGTAAAAATCAGAAAAGAATCCGACAACATGGGTCGGACAACTAAGGAACTAAAAGAAACGGAGAAGAAAGTAATACTTTTAGTAGCACGCAGAAACCTAGCAAATCGTTTAGAAAATGCAAAAATGTATAAAGACAAGCATTTGGAGTTTTAACAAAGGATACTTACTATACATGGATGAAAGTAAATTTAATATCTTCGGGTTTAATGGTACAAGATGTTACACCTAAACCACTCATTGTTTTTCTTCTGTATCCTCTGTATCAGGCACATAATCTTATCGCTCACAGAACTATCAAATTCTAAATAATTTTCAATACTTTCAAGATTTGCGTTTAGAAATAATCATTTCAAAATCAATAAGCTTCTTGTCATTAACATTTTTGATCAAAATGTAGATGCAATTTGTAATTGAATCGATAAAGTGAAATTCAAAATCAAGTTGAATTAGAAAGAATGCTTGCGTGCTAGTGGTTTCCATTAGCATGCCATTTTCAGTACCACTTTGATACATTAATGTGCAATAAAATCAAACTATTTGAAATAATGCGTTTGTCTCTTTAAAGCTGTGAACTATAACGAAATAATTAATCTCTCATCGTACGATGCTTTACACTTATGTGGACTACGTTGTAGAAAACGGAATCAATATCACGCGACCATTTCTTATTAATATCCGAAAAGCGTTCCAACCTCAGGTTGAATTACATACAATTATTGTAATCGACGTCAATACGATTTTGCCTCACCCATTTTCTATTTCATGCACAATTATTCATAATCTTATTTGCTTTGTGCCTCTTGTAATTTTTGAAATACCAAAATGGATATGAAATTGAGTGAGTATATTAAAGAGATTATTTTATACAAATTAAATTTTCAGCGGATTTGGTGTATTTAGTTTCGATTTAAAGTTACCCACAGGGCTAATAATTAAATTTATAAACACGCATCAAGTAACATGCTAACAAACAATTTATACAAAACTAAAATTAACAATTAAAAAAGCGAGTTTACAAAGGGTTATCTTGAAATTAAATCATACACGTGAAATAACACAAAATGAATTTTGTGTTCTTGTTTGTTTAATTCGGAGATATACGAAAAATATCAATTAAATGTTTGGAAATAATTAGTTATTTAAATTTGATATATTTGAATTTAAGCCAGTAACGTAACGCAAACAAATTAACCGGAGAATCCAACAAATTTGTCATTTACATTAATTTGTTTTTAAACAATTACTACATTAAAACATTTATATTTCAATTTGAATCGAAAACTTAATTGATATGACACGTGTGAATACGTTAAATCAAAATGGGTCAAAGTTGAAAAGTTACAAGTTTGTGATGACACTTCAACTGTACACACACATGGGAATAACTTGAATAACTTGGTAACTTGGCTTTTGTTGAAATGTTGCTCTAAGTTTAAGACGTAGAAGTCGTCGTTGACGGTTATGAAAACGTATAACGATATTTGTCGATATTATTTTTATTTAAGTCCCCTAACATTTTTTACACAGCAAGGCTTGAACCTTTCGGTTGCTCTTTCGATCTGATAAACCGAAATTTGCATAATTTTTCAATTTAGAAACGTCAAGTTTCATACCTTCGTAACGTCGTTTCCATTTTGAGATTTCTACTGTTCGCCTTCCAATCGATTTGAAATGTAAATGATGTTAAAAGTGTTTTTTTTGTAGGGTGTTAAAAATAAAAAAGAAAAATTTGTTTGATGAAAAGGTAAAAAGTAATACAAACTTTTTATATTAAATTGAAAAGCTTATATTGTTTATAGTTTAAAAGTAGGCCAATTTTGTGTGTAATTATAAAAAAAGTTGATAAATTTAAACTGGGTAGTTCGAAACAATTAAATTGATTATATTGAAAAACGAGATAAAGATCAAAATTTAACAAGACCGCTTCGATAATCCTCTTCCCTTTCTAAAGCTTTAAAACTCAATTATTCGTATTCTTCGTTGTTTCCATTTAATCGGATTTCAACATTAAATTTAGATCAAAAATAGAATAATACAGAAAAATCGTAAATAATTGACAATTAATAATATTAATAACACTAGACCTACAACTAGAATCATTCGAATCATTAGAATGTTTCTAGTTGTAAGTCTAATGTTAGTTCTAGTTTTAGTGTTAGATCGTTGTATATTTTTCATTGAACTAAAACTAGAACTAACATTAGACCGAACTTATTTTTATCATCATTTGGAAATAATTTGCTTAATTCTGGCAGAGTCGGGAAGTATTTGTCTCAACTTCGTAATTCTCTGAAAATATTTCCCTAAGTTATAACAGTTTCTGGAAATATTTTACTTAATTCTGTCAGCTTCTGCAAGTATTCTGCCTAATTCCCTCAGGTTTGGGAAGTAATTTACGGATTCTATGAGGTTCAAGGAGTAATTTGCTGAATTCTGTCAGGTTCAGGAAATATTTTGCATGCTACTGTAATCTCTTATATCAATTTTTGGAAACACTTTACTTATTTTTGTCATCCCTTAGAAGCATTCTGCTCAGTTTTGCAAGGGGTCAGAAGTAATTCATTAGGCTCTGAAAACATTTCTCTAAGTTATAACAGTTTTTGGAAATATTTTACTTAATTCTGTCAGCTTCTGCAAGTATTTTGCTTAATATTCCCAGATTTGAGACGCATATTGTTTATTTTACAAGCTTCTGGAAAAATTTAGCTAATACCATCAGTTTCTGAAAATATTTTGTATAATTGTGTCAGGTTTTTTCATAAATTTGTTAATATTTCTCTTAATTAGATACGTCCAAAAATATTTAACTTCATTTGGTTAGTGTTTAAAAGTATTCTGCTTAAATATGTTAGCCTCTGGAAATATTTTGTTTAATACTGTAAGTTTCTGGACATATTTTACTTAATTTTGTCTGTTTCTGAAAGTATTTTGTTTTAATTACGTTAGCATTTCGAAGTAGTTTGCTTAATTCTGTCAGATTTGAGAAGTCTGACTAGACTAACAACATTACAAAACACGAATAGATTAAATTATCATTTGCTAATTCAAATTATGAACTAGTAGTTGCCTACTTATGTGTGACGTCACAAACGGGCCTTCGAGCTGTTCTTAGAGCAACGTCCGAATTTGTGTGCATTAAAATTATTCATTCAAATAGTTTAAAGTGCAAATTAAAAGTTTTTCGATATTTTTTGGTAAAGAAATTAGTGTGAATTTCAACAATTAATAAAAAAACTTTTTAAATTCGAAGTGAGTTATAGGATAAAGTTTGAGAAAATGTCTAATTTTCAGTAATCATTTTTTCTTCATCTTTCTTTTAAAAACCCGTGTTAACCTTAACGAGTTTCAGAACTTTGCGAGAATATAATTTGAGAAAATTTATTACAGTAATACTCTTTGTACGTTGCAATTTCATAAGCTAGTTATGAAAATCTTTATTAAAAGTAATTATATTACAAAACAATATTTTTTTTAATTAGTTTACAAATTAATTAAGAAATAGGAACTCTCTAACCAGCTCATTAGTCACAACTAAATTCAACGAATTAACTTGATTAAGCGCTTAAACTTTGTTTAACCGCAAGTTCGAAACATTGCACGTTTGGGTCCAACTCAAATTAGTAAATAAATTATTTACATATGTATTTGTATGTGCTGCGTAAATACTTGTTTACAACTTTTATTTTAAAAATCCAATTAAAAGTTAACCACAAACCTACTCAACTATGAAGGCGTGAAAAAGTTCGTCTTGTTCGAGTTCGTTTAATTTATCAGAGTTCATCGTAGCGTAACATTATGACCCATAAAACTAAGAAAACGTCGAAGGTAGAAAAAAAATACTTGAAAACTTACCTATTCAGCGGAAATCACTTGAACGAAAAGTGGCGCGAGACGACGATGAAAGACGAAATCCAAGTCGAGTGGTCGCAGTGGGATCCGGAACGAAGCGTCGTCTCGAACTTTATCGGATCGTAGTAAAAGCGCAACTACACCACCGCGAGACAGAAAGCTTGCCAGAATTGCGTGTTGGCTTTCAGCGACGACTTTGCACGAGTTTTATCGACAATTTAAAACAGCCTTGGTGACTTATTGCCATACGAACATAGTTGTGTAGACGAAATTGAATGCGCACTTTTCGTATTTATTGCTTTTTAGGTTGGTTTCGATATAAATTTTTATTGCTGCGCTACGTGATCTTTTCAACAAAATTGAAACTCCTACTGTTATTATCAATTTAGACAAGTATTTTTCAGTTATCATCTTTTCTATTTGATCAAAGGCATTGTAGTTATTAATTTTTACCGGCGCCTCCACCAAAAAGTTTAACCTATATTTTTATAAGATATGAAGTTAAAAGTATCTATTTTACCCGTATGTGTAATAAGTGTAAAGTTTAAATACACGAATTTGTTATACTTTAACTGATTTATTTTTAATTATCTCTCTGACTAGTTTCACCTACAATGGCATCTTCAGAGACTATGTCTAAGTGAATTTATGTCATCATTTGAAAGTATTCTGCTCAATTCTGCAAGGGGTGGGAAATAATTTTCTCAAATTTATCAGTCTCTAAAAATATTTCTCTAAGTTATAACAGTTTTTGGAAATATTTTACTTAATTCTGTCAGCTCTTGCAAGTATTTTACTTAATACCCCCAGATTTGGCTTATTTTACAAGCTTCTGAAAATATTTTGTATAATTGTGTCAGGTTAGTGTCTAAAAGTATTTTGCCTAAATCTGTCACCCTCTGAAAACATTTTACTTAATGCTGTAAGTTTCTAGAAATATTTTGCTTAATTATATTGCCATCCGGACATATTTTACTTAATTTTGCCTATTTCTGAAAGTATTTTGTTTAATTATGTTAGCATTTGGAAGTAGTTTGATTAATTCTATCAGATTTAAGAAGTCTAACGAAAAGCCTAAAACTAGAAACGTTCGGGTTAGTTTAATAATCTTGAAATTGTTATGTTCACTAAGACGTAGAGTTGAAGATGCCATTGGATTCGAAATTAGTCAGACAAATAAATAAAAATTAACCAATTATAGTACAACTTCGTTTATTTAATTATTTAATATTGTTATGTGTTCATATTCCTATTGTTAGATTAAACAATTATTGACATATAATTAATTTTATCCTCTCAAAATTTATCAAAATGTATTATTTTCTGTGTGATAATTCTTATCTGGTATTAACCGTATTATGTACGTAAATCTGATAAAGTGTTAACACCGCAAAGAGGAACTCCGTGGGAAAACCACCCTAACTGTGACTGTTGAAATGAATAATTAATAGGTGGATGGAGAGCATAAGAAGAGAAAGGTGCTAATTTTAGGATATTTCTCAGAAAATATTTCAAAATGTGAATCAGAGATTTCACGAACTTTGGACAAACCAGAATCACAATACTTTAATTTAAAAATTTTTGCTTACTGCGATACTTTAAAATTTAATAAATGTTGAAAATGAACATGTTTGTTAAAATAATAGGTTTAGTAACCTTTACAAAGTCTTTATTAAACAGTTGGTTGCGTTTAATTATCAACCGAGGCGCCGTGTAGAAACCGGATTAGTTCAACAATGACGCGGCGTTTACGGAATGCACATATATACTGTAAACAGTAACCATATTGTAACTATGTTCCACTTGGTGGAAGATGACTAATGACGTAACATTGTTAGCTCTCGAGTGTAAGCCTTAATGCAAACCCATCAAAAGATAACACCGAGAATGGTGGTGCAGAACGATATGAAATTCGTTGGTATTAAGCTGCTGCAGTTATTTTAATTTTTCTTGTTTGTGAGTCCTAAATATAATAATAATGTTTCGTTAAAGCGAAATATGAAATTATACCGATATGAATCATATTGGTCGACACAATATTTATTTATCTTGATTGACGACAGTACAAATAAATTACGTTTCATATTTACGTAGGAAATTGGTAAAGCACGAATTATAGAGTGTTGCTCTGTGCAATTTCAATTTGGAACGATGCGGAGCCGCCAAAACCGTGCCATATATACGCCGTAATTAGTTTCGAATTAAGTGGACCCTAGCAGTGACCAATTTAGTCTAACCTACAATGTAATTATTCTACCCTAAATCAAATCGTTGACATCAGGGGCGATAGCCAAGTACATTTTAACACCACAAAATAATACTTCGCATATTATATATTTACATAATTCATACTGAGTGGAACATAAATCTGGTAACGTCTAATTTTATCCTAAGTGAAATGCTGAAATTACACAATTTGTTTCTCATAGGATTTGAACGTCACACTATTCTACGCAACAAAATATTCTGTTTGGAATGGTCTGTTAGTTTCTAAAATGAGATAAAGAATTTTCCCAAATCTGACTATGGTGGACATTGAAAAAATGTCATCTCTCAAATATTATTTTAGTGGTTTAAAATTGTGCTAAGTAATCTTGATTTCTTGCTTTTGGCATGATCTAACAGTTTCTACATTAAGAACGGATGGGGAGGTTGATAAGGATTCCTATGACATGATGAGTGTTCCTGAAATTAATAAGAAATATTCTCGTAAAATTTATATTTCTCCTTCCACAATGATCTTATTGGTTTCGTAATCTAACATAACCTGTTTCAGCTTACCTGCATAGAAATCAGGATTATCTACAATCCAATCCTCTTTTGATAACATTCTTAGAATCTCTAATGATCTTTTGAATTGATAAAAAGATTTTAAAATAACCTACACAACAGGGACAGAGAATTTACTATTATACTGAAAACAAATGGGTTGGGTTTCAGAGGATCAGACAACGTTTGCCTTCCACTGGAATTAAACATGGAGTTTATTTTCAGTATTAAAGCACGAGATGTTGCTTGTAAGAACTAGACAATGATTATTGTTGATGGAAAACTAGTTACAGTTTACAAAAAATTACATGGTGTCTGTAAGTGACTAGATACTGCTAATGGAAGACTTGATCTTCCTTATGGAAGTTCAGATTCTCCTAGCAGAAGACTCCGTACTACCAATGGTAGACTAGGTACTGCTGATAGAACGCTAGATATCGCTTACAAACAAATAGATACTGCTTCCAAAAGACTAGAAACTGTGCAACTCAACTAGGAGACTACTTACTCTTTGCAGAAGACTAAATACTACTGGAAATGACTAAATTCTGCAAATAAAACACCAAATGCTGCTTCCAAGAACTAAATGATGGTTACAGAAAATTACTTATTGCTTAAAAACGGCAAGATACTGCTAATAAAGCATCAGATGCTGCTTGCAAGAATTAGACTGTGGTTACTTCTGATGAAAAACAAGTTATAGCTTACAGAAAATTATTTACTGCTTGTAAAAGACCAGATAAAAACTAGACTAGATGTTACTAATAGAAGACTTAATCCTCGTTATAGAAAAGCAGGTACTCCTGGCAGAAGATTAGATACTGCTGGTAGAGACAAAAAATATTGTTTCAATGCATATTATGGCTGTATTATTGAAAAAATGAGTTAATGACTTGGTTCATTTTAACACTAAGCTTATATGTAATTGTAAAGGTTCTTTAATAATTTTATTAAATATAGGTTAATTAAACGTAGGTTATTTTATTAATAGTGCACAAAAATCTTTATTTGTCCAGTTTTATCGCATTTGGCTGCAAGAAACAACCTATCAAGTTTAAAACACTGCTAACTTGTAACACTTGCAAGATATTTAATTTGTAGACAACATATACCTTAAGATCTTGCTGCCAATGTAAGTGTCCACAATATTACTCACCACACATCGACACTGCCACGTGAAAACTACATAAACGCCAAAATGGTCATTTTTAACATAACTACACCATTGAACAGGATTTTTCAATCTGCATTTCTTTCAGAAATTTCTATATACATTAAAACTTAACTTTTCATTTACTATTAATTTAAATATATTTTGTAAATAAGTCTAATACATAATATAAAAATATTTTAAAAAACGGATAAAAGTGCTTCATAAAACATTTAAGTTAGATTATTACTAATTGATCAATCTACGCTGTACAAATTACGCTATTTAATAAATCACATTTATGTAAATGAAAATGTATCTCTAATGTAACTTCAACTAAACTGGATATAAATAATATTCCGACTTGGATTTCATTGTGGGCTTGGTGAAAGGCGAAAACCAGTGTACAGAAAAGCGGCCAAAAACCGCTTGGATACTTTTCCAACGCGATTTTTTCGCCCAGCGCGCTTCTTCCTTTTTCAATTGTTCGATTCCTGTTTCGTCTGTCCATATTGCTTGAACTTGCGAACCCAACATAACCGCGGTGAAAACGGCGAAAAGTAATGCTTCGAAACAGAGGAAAAGTAATAAGATTACCGTCGCCGGTGGTGAATATGATGTGCACTCTTTCCATTCGTGTCTTATGCATGCCATAAATTGATTTACAGCAAGGAACAGAGAGTGTATAGATAGATTTGCTATATAAAACTGAAAAAAGGAAAATTTACATAAAGAAAAGTGGTGTTCAAGTACATTTACCGTGAATAAAACAAAATATTTTTGATTATTCTCTCCTACACAATTATTGACCCAAGGGCAATGATGATCCATTTTTCTAATGCATCTACAAAAAAATTAATACCAAATTAATTTGCATTTAAAACATTAAATTTTGTTTTAAAATTATCTAATTAAAAAAATTAATCAGTGATTCAGTACTTATTATCAAATAGATTACATTGAGATGTGGAACAAATAGATTAACTTCCCAAGATAAAATTCTTTTTGTCAAAAATAACAATTCTCTATGAAAAAAAAATTTGTCAAATACCTTTGACAAACAGAACAATGATGAGCTCTTTCTGGCTTTATACTACAACATTTAGGACATTTAAATATAACCGTTTCTTTTCGAAAACCCATCTGTTGAATCATTTCTTTTGTTGCATTTCCTTTTGGTACTGCACCCTATAAAAAAATATACATAAATCATCCCATTTTTAACAAAAACTTAATTACTCACTGGATCTGCAAACATAGTACGTAAATGTGAGGCAAAAGCCAAAAATGCGAGAATTTGAAAAACAATAATATTAATAACACTATAGACTGTGTAAGGATTTGGGAGCAATATAACAGTCATAACAACGAATTCTGCATACAAAATCAACATCCAAGTTAATATTGCACAAATAATTCCACAAATGTCGCGGATACACCAAAATCGTCCTCCGCAACACTTATTGTGCATGTCTACGTTATATTCGTATTCGCTATGCATAATCGATTTCCTTAACACTTTAATTGGATGCTAATAGGAAATTTTTCTTGTGGTATATTCAATCATTTTCGTTTTTACGGCACCTTACAGCGAATATTCGAATGATTTCGTGTTCCATAGTGAAGATATTACTTTCTTTATATAACTTTCGCACCCGTTTCACTCATTATCCCCAAGGATATACAGTTAAATAATAAGTAAACCAAATAAACAGCATACACAACCAACGAGTAACATATCGACTGATATTAAATGTAAATATGACATTGACATTTTTCAAGTGACAGGTAGACAACTTCATAAACAAATTTATTTTAAAACTCAACATATTAATACATTACAAATTAATATCTAATTCTAAATAAAACTCTAAATGAAAATAAAAATTTTTTTATGAACTTTAAAGCCTTAACATGAAGTAATAAACCATTTTAAAACAAATACTATTGGCTCCATCTATACTAATTTTAAAATAAGATTTAAAGATATCTGTAATTATCGATTCTTTCAATTTGGCATAAACTTGACACTATGGAAGTTTACACGTGGAGGTTAGTTTACATTTCATGTGTGATTAAATATTATCTAAATTTGTTAAATATAACGTAAATCTACACCTAAACTTGTAATAAATATGAAGGTAAGTTTGTTTTATTCATTTTAATTGATTTATTAATGTATCTATAATTTTTAGACTACCGAGAAAAAGGGTAAACAAGGAACGAAAGGTTCGAAACAAATCATTGAAGAAAATGTATCCACGCTGAATTTCTACCGTAATATGGCCATATTTGCCAATGCCACATCTTTAATTATTTTGGTGTTTTATAATTCATCAATAAGCATAGTGAGAATTTAATTTAAATTATAAATCAATAAATTTTCATTTAATAATGCTCAAATTGTTTTAGGCACTTTATTTATTTTCATGTTTAATTTATATAGGAGCTTATCAATTTATGGTGTACATGGCTAAAGCAAAATATACCGATTCAGGTCAAATTGTTGACAGTGGTGTTGATTTGAATATGGAAGGTGGAATTGCAGAGTAATTTTAATTTATTTTTCTTTAATACATTATATTAATAATTCTTTTTAAGGCATGTAAAAGACATTATTATCTTAACAGCCGGTTGTCAGCTATTAGCAAGTATACTTTCAAATTATTTTTGGTTATTGTGGTTGTTGGCCCCAATAAGAGGATTTTGGATCTTATGGAAGAATGTGTTGGGTCCTTATTTCTTCCAACCTCCAACTGGCGAACCTGAAGTTAATGAAAAGAAGCAGAAGAAACTGGAAAGGAAAATGAAAAGAATGAATCACTGATGAAACAAATTTTTTCGGGTTATATTGATACTGTAACTTTTTTTTTGGGATTGTGGACAATTTTTGTTGTTTGTTGATTATTTAAGGATTTAATATAAAGGTTTTTTTTAAGAAATTTTATTTACCTAAATAATTCAAAGCATTACAATGAAGTTTTAATGGTATTTTAATATGCAAATGTTGTAATAATAAGTAAATAGTAATATCAAAGTTTTTAAGATACAAGACACATATGAAACAATTTTATAATTTATTCTCTTCATTAAAACCTAATTTGTTGTAACGAAATATTAATTTGTTCTCCAAAATATTCCTCTTGTATCTGTCGTCCAAAAAAGTGTTTGTGACAAAGTGCTCAAACATTAAACTTGTGCAATGTATCAAGCTATGTGTCCAGAAAGGAGGCATTCGCATACTCGTACCTTTACAAGGATGGAAAATAAAAATTAATTTACACAGAAATTAATCAGCTATGAACGACAGGAAAAGGAGTACTGAACAGAATTTGAAGATTATTTAGATAAAATACGTCCCAATATGTGGTTCTAACAGTATGGAGCACCTCCCCACAATGCACGAAACGTTAAGAACATTGTTAAATGAAATGGTTGGTGCAAGGTGGATTGAAAATTTTTACCTATTAATAAACCAGCTAGCAAGATTGCTTGATTCATTTTAGATATTTTCGTGTAGACTTATCTAAAACAACAAGTTTATGGTATTTGTAGGGCCAAATAATACAATATATGTTACAATAAGCAAGAAAAAATTTATTAAATAGATTTCAAGAATGTATTGCGAACAACGAAGGTCATTCATATTGAACAAATACTTGCGCTGTGGACTGCAGCCATGCAAAACATATTGAACCTAACGCCACTTCATTTGTTCATTCAAGAGGTGGCATTGGTGACCATGATTCGACTGTGGGCAGCAGGAATTCAAATGGGTGTGAGATATAGTAAAAATGCCATTCTCTGGAATGAAATGGTCGACTACTCACCAATTCTGGAATGTAAAACGGACTTCACACAATTACAACACATTTTTACGAAGAAATATCTCACCCACCCAAGTTCCACAGAAGTAGAGGTAAAAAACAGCCTTAAAATCTACACTGATGGTTCAAGTAGACGGGAAGGAGCTGGTGTCTTCTGGTACGATCTCCGATTCCACATATCTGAACTTCTAGCTAAAAGTACCACCGTCATACAGGCGGAGTTAATCGCCATACAACTTGCCGCTGACGTTATTGTCAGATCAAACTTGATAGGTAAGACTTTTACAATTTACACTGACAGTGCGCAAGCTATTTTAGCTCTGAGTAGAATAACAATTACCTCAGGACTTGTTATTGGCTGGCAAGCGAGTGCCATGTTCGCCTGAACCGATAATCGCTCCGTCCTTATCAACTCAGATTGAGATAATTAAATGAGAGGCAGAGGCAGCCTTGTCTTTCATAATGCTTGGTAGAAACGCTTTACGAACTGTAACGAGACTCGTCACGGGTCACTGTCAGATAAACAAGCATCTTTATACCCTTAAGCTTTCTGTTAGTCCTCTCTGTCGCCTCTATGAAAAGAGCGAGGAGACGGTTCGACACATCTTGTGTCACTGCCCCACTCTACAAGACCTCAGAATGAGAGACTTCGGAGAGGAATGGGCGAGCATAGATGGCATCAGGAACACACCTCTGAGCTGTATCCTAGCCTTCGGAAATTCCTTAGGCTGGTTGATGTAGCTGGAGAGAATGCAGGAGGATGTACAAGGGGCCCGTTGGGGCTAGGTGCTGTATGCGGAAGCATACCCCTTCGACCTTCTTGCGACCAACAACCGTACTTCTCCCTTTCTGGTGTCGGCTTTTTTTGTCTGAACCTTTCCACTGAAATCCACCCTAGGAACTCGTACTCAACTCATGATCGAACTCTTCTTTATTTTCTGTCATCAACTTAAACTCTCCCAATTGATTCAGGACTGACTTTCCATTTATCCATAAGTAAAAAATTCTCTTTGAACTCTCCAAGGAGCTCTCGTGTTCTTCTTCCCGTCTGAAATTTTCAACCCTTTCGTTCCGAGCGCCCTTAACCTAAACAATCGTTTCTATTGGCCGAACAACTCGGATAGTCGAAAACATTCCGCCCTACACTAAGGCAGAGGAGAAATCATACAGACAACCATTTTCAAAATAACAGAGAAAAAATTTGAAAATCAAATATTAATAAATTTTAACCGAATCCGATTTGACGGGATCCTGGTAGTGATCCCGTCAAATCTGACGGCATTGCACAATATCAGTGCTTATAGTGTCTTCTGCAGCCCATTGGTAGGACATGTCGGAGCAGTTTTAAGCATATTGCTTAAACCTGTAAATGGTAGTTCCGGCTACTTCCTCTACATGCAAAGGAGATACACCAAGTCTGTCGGGATTTCCTATATCAAGCTGTCGCTCTGTATGTGATCATAGGTCTAATCACAGTTACATAGAGCCAGTACAGTCTTTCAGGGGTAAGACCCCAATTTTTTCCAACTTAATTTTTTTCATGTTGTAATTTTATTAATTTCACTACCTACTTTTTTGGAATAAACCTCTAATTTACGTAAGTTTGCTACTTAATTATCGATTTGTGTTTTTAATTGATTAGATAACTTTGGCATGTGATTTATCGTAAATAGATTTTTTATATGTAATAAAATTGGGTACATTCCGTTTAAAATTTTGAATGTATTTGCTGTATCTAACACATTTGATGCTCCATCATTTTTTTTTTATATAGCAGACAATAGAATATTAAGTTTGGAGCAACTTTCCTTCTACAATATTTTGTCATATTTGTATACTATACAATGTTGGTCTTTAAAGGATTGATGTCCAACAATAATTGGAACGAACCTTGAATCACTTATTATTTCGTCACAGTATCTTGTATTCTGGTAAATATATTCGGTTATTTACTAAACTAATAAATTTAAAAATTGTAGAATACAATATGGTGGAATGCTACATACAATTAGTACAAAACACCAAAATATTTTGAAAAGAAAACGTTTATTTTTAGTACTACTTGACTAATAAACCATGTTATCTTATCATGTTTTTATGTAAAGGTCACATGATTCAGAATGCTTTATATTACGTAGGAGTTATTTTGCAACTCATTGAATAGTTTCAAAGGTTCCCATTATCCATTGTTATGAAACAAAAAAAAAGTTTGGATTGAAGAAATATAAGAATTAAATGATTTATTGCAACAAGTTAATGATAATATACAGTTCCACCTAAAAGCTACAACCTACTTATATGTATTCAATAGTTTTATTATTATTATAAATATAATGAAAATACATTTTTTTTTAAATTCACTTTCCAGAAATAATTTATAACCAAAAATAAAAATTACATTTTCCTCACACCTCCTCCTCCTCTTCAGTCCTAAGATATCTTTGACTTCTTAATTCACCGCTCAGTTTCTACGTTTCCTGCGGGAGGACTCCTCCTAAGCAAAAAGAGAAGGAAATAAATCGATTATAAAGAAATTTATCAATTTAAAACCCAAAAATTACCTGATTTGCCCTAGCCTATTTTATCGGGACAGCAACAAACAAACAACCAAATTATTCCATAAATCAATTAATCACGTCACAAAATTAATAAGGAATTTTTAGTCATTAATAAGGAAATTTGGAAGGAAATACAATTACTATTACCTATCATTAGTTACCTTCTGTGATAAAATGATTAAAATCCTCTTGAACATTCCGATAAAGTCGATAAACAAATCCATGGAATGTGCCACAAAATCTTTACTACCCATACGGCGCTTTTCAATGATCAATTGAGTATCATACAAAACAAATCCGCACATCATCACCAAACCCAAATAGAGATGAGCTTGGAACAACAGATTTGATCCAAAGAATAAGTTTGCAAATGATAATAACAACACTGTATTTAAAAGTGTCATTAAAGTACCACCTAGGTACAACCATTTTCCTCTTTCAGCCAACATTGAACAAATTGAAAATGATATAAATACCAAAGTTGTTCCTAAACATTACAACATATTTGTTAATTTATAAAATTCTTACTTAATACAATTACTTTACCTGCTAATGCTGTACTGATTAAATTTGGATCTAACAAAATAACATGTTCAAGCAAAGGCCCCATTCCTACTCCAGTAAGCCCAGCGAATCCAAGTAAATAACCAATTCTTAGATGCAACTTTTTGCCATTATCATCAGGTGTGGTCATTAATAAGAAGAAACATACAAGTGCCCCTACAGATGCCAAAAAGCCAGCTTGAATGATGTTAGTGAAGAGATGAATGGAAGCGCCAGCTGCCGCTGCCATAGTTGACATTGTGAGACAAGCGTAAACATTTTTCAAGTGTTGTCTTACGGGTTCCTCTCTGTATAAAATTTAACATGTTAATTAGATACGTATATTAAGTATGGCAGCGAAATGAATACTCACAGTTTATTGCTGAACGAATTTATAAACGTTTGTACTGACGGAGCCATGTTAATTTCTCTATGATCTTCAGATATTTCACTAAAGACAAATGACGGGGTGTTTAAAACAAAGCCTCTTGATAAATTTTTAGACTGATAAGATAAGAAAATACTGAATTGAAGCAAACACCGTTTTTAGAGACACAATGAAATCTGTAAACTACACGTCAGATCCTACCACTTTTAGGTAGATATTCACTTAATAACACTCTCCGATTGGTTCGTTTAGATCACGTGTTCGTTCGGAAATGCGTAGTCGGCACTTTTCTGGAATTAATTTTTTATGAGGCTACGTGTATCTTATTAATTATGAAAATTTTCAACTTTAATTGTTAAATAACGATTTTATCAAAACAATTTAAATCTTACTTCGTTATTATTAACTTAAAAACATTTTTTTATGCTAATTTTTATTCGTGTAGGGAATTATTTTTCTTTAAGTTTAATGATTTTATAAATTTCAATTACATTAAAACATATTTTAATCCTTAAACTAATAATTAAACAAATTATTTCAACAAACGGTTAATTAATAATAAATAAAAAGCGATTTATAACTACAAAATAAAAAAGATATAGATTTTACTTTTTTAGGTTGGTATCACATTTTATTCTTACTCAAAAACTATAACATAATTTTATTTTATAATTCTTAAATCAATTCTACATTTAAGATCTAACTTTATTTAATAACAATAATTTAAGTTAAGAATCATAACATAAAATAAATTCGAAATTCAAAAAATGATATTCAAGAGAAGTTAGTAACAAACATAACCTAACTTTTTTAAATGTCACTCGCACGCGTGGTATAAAGTTCAGTGTTAAAATTGTGTTTTCCTCATTTATTACAGCAAAAAAATGGGGAAAAAAACGAAAATTGGAAAACAACGCCGAGATAGGTACTATCAATTAGCAAAAGAAACGGGTTTCAGATCTCGTGCGGCGTTTAAATTAATCCAACTCAACCGAAAGTTTGAATTCTTACAAAAAGCTCGAGTTTGTATAGATTTATGTGCAGCACCGGGAGGATGGATGCAAGTGGCGCAACAAAACATGCCCGTTTCAAGTATAATAGTAGGCATAGATTTGTTTCCGATAAAGCCTATACCTGGTTGTATTTCTCTTACGGAAGATATTACAACAGAGAAGTGTAAAGTAGCTTTGGGGAAAGAATTACAAACGTGGAAAGCTGATGTAGTGTTAAACGATGGTGCTCCAAACGTCGGTAAAAATTGGTTACATGATGCGTATCAACAGGCTTGCTTAACGTTGAGTGCTTTGAAATTGGCCACACAATTCTTAAGGCAAGGTGGTTGGTTTGTTACTAAAGTGTTTAGATCTAAAGATTATAACCCATTGATGTGGGTATTGAAACAATTATTTAAAAAAGTTCATGCAACCAAACCCCAAGCGTCTCGTACTGAATCTGCAGAAATATTTGTTGTTTGTCAGTATTATATTGCACCTGATAAAATAGATGCCAAGTTTATGGACCCTAAATATGTTTTTCAAGAATTAGATATTGAACCAACCAACAAATTAAATGTTTTTCATCCTGAAAAGAAGAAAAAAGCGAAGGCTGAAGGATATAAAGATAATGATTATACTTTATATCATAAATTACCTGTAACAGAGTTTATTAAGCATTTCAATGGGATTGATTTACTTCAAGCTGCTTCAGAGGTTACTTAAATTTTATTTTATAATTTAAAAAATTATTTTGTCCATTACTACCTTATAATATATACCTTATTAATGAGTTTTAAACAAAAGGGTAGTCATTTTTCAATAATAGCAGTGAATAATTATTATTCACAAGTAATCAATTTGACAACTAATAATAATTATTTGAAACGTCAAAATTTCAAAAAACATCAATTTAATTTAATTTTTTAGGATTTTTTAAAGGTTTGACATTAAAAAAACGTAAACAAATTCCTTTTTTCTTTATAATTTAAGCATAAATTAATTAATTTTGGAAAAAAGACATGAGGTTTTATAAAAGTGACATTTAATGTTGACAAATTGTTGTGAAGTTGGCTACAGTTGGTAACATTGAATTTGTGTCACATTGACGTTTAAACTTTATTCAAAAATTTATTTAAAAAAATAAATTTATGGAATCAATTTCAATAGTAGTCATGGACAAAGTATACTATTCTACTTACATATAATGAGCTTTATTCACTTAGATTAATTAACTAAACTTAACCTTAGTGAATAATAGCTCTTATTATATGCTCATATAATAATATACTGTTTCTTTTCTGTTTAGATTACATTTGATGATGATGAAATCTTAAATCATAAATCCACCACAAAAGAAATAATAGATTGCTGTAAAGATATAAAAGTGTTGGGAAGAAAAGAACTTCGACTTTTATTAAAATGGTGGAAAATTCTTCATGATGAATATGTTAAAAACAACACAGAAGAAACACAAACAGAAAAAGATGATGAAATCGCTTCTGATGATGGAGAAGAGGAAGATGAAGACACAAAAATAAATAAAGAAATATCAGAACTTCAACAAGAAGAAATAAGAGAGGAAAAACGTAAAAAAAAGAAAGTACTAAAAGAACGTAAAAAACTAAATGATAAACTCAATTTAAAAATGGTTATTAAAGGAGATGGAGGTCCAACAATGGAGGCTGACGACATGTTTAGTTTAAAACTAATTGAAAATAATCAACAAATGAATAAAGTTATGGACCAGGCCCCAGAACTTTTAGCAGAATCTGATAAAGAATCTGATGAAGATGAAAAGCCAAAAAAAAAAGTTAGATTTGAAAAAGGATCCGGTCATTTACATAGTTCCGGTATGTATTATAAAGATTCTGATTCTGAATTAGAAATGGAAAGTGATGAAGACGACGATAAAGATTTAAAAGGAGAATTGGGTTCAAGTGATTCAGAATTTAGCGATACCGAATCAGCTCCCATTAATAAAAAGGAAAAACAACACCCCCTAATTACCGATTTGGATTATCGAGATTCGAAACAAAAAAAAATTAGTAAAGCCGATCTATTTTTTGAAAGGGACATTTTTAAAAATTTAATTGACGAAAAAGATGAAGACTTAGATTTAGACCGAATGGAAACTGAGTACATCAAAAAAGATGTAGTTGGAAAGAAAGTTAAAAAAGAAAATTTGAAAGATGAAGACAATAATAACACATTTGATGATATGGATAGCGATAGTGATGATAGTGAGTATGATGTTGAAAACGAATTTAAATCTGCGAAAAGAAACGGGGTTGAAACAGAGGTTTTGGAGAAAAAGAAAAAAATTAAGTTAACTCCTGAAGAAATGGCGATGGGAACTGTTATGATTAATAGTAAAAAAGCTAAAAGGGATTTAATTGATGCTGCTTGGAATCGCTATGCTTTTAATGATGAAAATTTACCTGATTGGTTTGTTGCTGATGAAGAAAAACATATGAAAAGGGAAATTCCTGTTCCTAAAGTAAGTATTATCAATTATCATAGTAAGTATAGATTTGCTTAATAAAGTTTATGCCCAATTTCTCTCCTGCCATAAAATCATCTAAATAATAATCCATAGTAACCATATGTAACGCAGCAAAGCTTGCTGCGCTGACACTATGATACTGGCGCATCTAAGTGGCGCCATAACACGGTTTTAACACAGTCTTGTACAATGTCGTCATTATATTTGCCCATTTGAAGGGCTATAATAGAGTGATAAATCTGACAGATCTGTCCAAATATCAAGTAGCGCTAGACACAAAAGAAACAATTAAACTTTATTTTGTAATAATTTATACTCATTTATTTATTTTGACAAAAATAACATCGATTGTAAAACATTCATGCGCTACTACATTAAAATGTTATGTTGCTTTTTCATGGGGAAAGAAATGAATTTTTAAGAAAAACAAAATACTGTCGTAAAAAGAATGCTTTTAGGTCTCAATAATAAAAAAAAAATGTTGGCATTCCATTAAAAATAAAAAAGTTGACAGTCGCCATTTTGAAATAATTCGTCCAATTGAAAATATGATATCACCATCGTGTAGAGAATGTCCTAAAACATATTACTGCCAAATATTTTGAAAATAGTACCCATAGTGTGGCTAAAAAAAAAATAAGGCGCTTACTCTCAGGCTGTATATCTTGGTAGGTATCAATTTTATAAAATAACATTTTATACAAAAGTTGTTTAATATTTTATTTGCCATAACAAGACTGCATTAAAAACAATTGTTTTTAATTCAGAAAACAAATGAATACTTAATTTTTTTTTTAAATGGCAATGTATTCTTTCTTTAGGCTCATTTGATAGAGATTACTTTTCTCTTTACGATGGCGTAAAATTTTTGTATCCTTACATCAGAAAATGTTTGAGAAAAATGGAAAAATTCTTTATTAATAAAAATTAATCAATAACATTAATCTAGATATCCGAGATCGTCAAGTACCTCGAATTATTACTGTAAATTAAATTTACATACAAAATAAAACAAATAAACGAAAAATTAGTGTACATCTCCAATAATTCGAGGTACTTGACGACTCGGATATCTAGATTAATGTTATTAGTTAAATTTTCTTAATAAACAATTATTACATTTTTTTCAAAAATTTTCTGATATAAGGGTACTAAAATTTTACGTCATCGTAAAGAGAAAAAAAATCTCTATCAAATGAGCCTAACGAAAGGGTACATTGCCATTTAAAAAACTTCAAGTGTTATTCGTTGCTCATTTGTTTTCTGAAATAAAAACAATTGAATGCTGTCTTATTATGGCAAATAAAATATTAAACAACTTTTGTATAAAATGTTTTTTTATAAAGTTGATACCTACCAAGATATATACTATATACCATACATAATGGGCATCCTCCTGTATATTTTAGTATATTGCATCTTAAGTGAAATTCATGTATTGTGTATTTTATTAATTAAGTTTTGTAATTAATTTGTAATTAATATCACTTATGATAAATTTTTTAAAAATTTAATGTCTATAATTCAATTTATAGGATTTAGTGAATGATTATAATAAACGTTTAGAAGAGATAAATATTCGTCCAATTAAAAAAGTAATTGAAGCAAAAGCTAGAAAGAAGAAGCGTACTTTAAAAAAATTAGAAAAAGCTAAGAAGAAAGTCGAAGCAATTATGGATAATGTTGATGTGTCTGATCGAGAGAAAGCAAAACAAATTAAACAGTAAGATCATAATTTTTTTTATTGTTTGTTGAATTTGTACTGATTTTCTTTTTATTTATTTGTAGGTTGTATCAAAAGGCGAAAGCTGATCCTAAAAAAGAAGTCACCTATGTGGTTGCTAAAAAATCAATGGCTGGAAAGAAAGTCGCTAGACCTCCAGGTGTTAAAGGTCACTACAAAGTCGTTGATCCTCGAATGAAAAAGGATCTTCGTGCCCAAAAAGCCAAAAACAAACGAGATTTTAAAAGTAAAAAGAATAAAGGTAAAATTAGGAAGTTTAATAATAAGAAAAAAGCTGGAAATGTTAAGTAATCAAGTACTTGTTTATAATAAACTATCTTTATTTTAATTAATTATTTTCCTCATAACGTTTTCCTTTGAAAACTTTTGATTACAGAGTTGTTTGAATTGAAAAGTCCTTTTGATGATAAACACAAGTCCCAACGGGTGCTATTAACCAATTTTCTATTATCAGTTTGACCGTGAGTACATGTTTAATACACAGAAAAAAAGTGAGAAAGAGATAGAGATAACGAGAAACATTTGCGTAGTGCCCTTGAACTTGCCGACACTTATTTTCGCGCAACATCGGCCCGCAAATAGTTGAACAAAACAACTCGCAATATGTACCGACAGTCGTAAAACAACGACCAACAAGGTTAAGGAGAAAATTGGTAATAATAAATAACCACTACAATTTTTTTTCTTTTATAAAAACATAATAACTAAAAGAAAAAAACGTAACAAATTCGCATTAATTTCATAATATTTGCAAATACCAAATTCTGAGTATTTGCAATAATACCATATGGTACTGAATGAGTATCTGCTTTTCTCAAACGTATTCACATTTGATAACATCGGTTAAGATGTATCCATTTAATAAGATTGCACAAAACCAGCCACGTTTACGTGTCCTGTCAATACACAAGTTCGTTTGCGTCTATCAAAACATTCACTAAATGGGTCTTTTGGACGACCCCGATCACCATATGAGGTGAGGTGCATTTAGTTTCAAGAATTTTTCGAAAATATTTTACTGATTGTATCAAGATCTTTCTATTTCCAGTTAATTTTAGTTACTTCTTGTAGGGTTGTATTATCACATGTTAAAAAGATGATTAAACGTTAAAGATGAAATTTAGTTTTAATAGATTTTAGTAGATGGCGTTAACTGTAATCTTAACTAATTAAAATAAAAGTTAGTAATTTGAAGTTATTGTATGAGTAGGTTAAGTGCGAAGTTATGATTATGATTTTTAAAATTGTATCATATCATTCTTATCGATTATTATCAATTTTTATAACGCAGTTAATTATAAAAACAGAAAATAGTTAAATATGACGTCGGTAACGCGCGATGTAAAATGGTAGGGTTGACCGTGGACTACGTTGTACGCTACTGAAAATAAAACAAGGTCAAGTTTACAAGGTCGCAACGCGGCGTACAACGCGCTGCTGCCGCCACACGATAGATACAAACTGAAACTCGGTTATACGTACGTATGTGTAGGTGGGTGTTTTTTATATCATTCCGCTCCTATCTTGTATGCCTCGTACCCAGCACCTGTATCAAGTATACTCACCGACAATGCCAACAATAAGGTTTGACGTTTTATGATCGCCCCGTCTTCGCCTATAAACGGGAACTAGGGCTATTACGATAAGTTCACGGTCGTTTCTCTATACGAAGTTTGTAAGCTTCTATATCCACCTTACTTGTGTTGGTTTAAAGTTGGGAATGATAATATTAAGATTTATGTGTTCAATTTTTATCCTACATATTACTTTTCATACAGAAAGAAAGTTTTTGAACAAATATAACAATTAGAAACTAAATTATTAGATATGCGAGGAAAAAATTACTTGATTTTGTTAATGAAGGAATTGTATGTCTACTTACAATACTTAAAGAAATGTTCAATTAAAGAAAATTTTATACATTTTCCATACACTAGTTCCGATGTTTTGTAATATTTTCAATTATGCAGCACTAAAATTCCGAACTCATGGTATTCGATATTTATTGCTGCATTGAATGGTTTATTTAGACGCGGTTGTCTTGGAGACTTTAAAGCTTTTTTTACTGAAAGCTAAGTTTTTGAGTTTTGTTCTGTGTAAACTTGTTAGTATGCTTAACATTTCTAACAATAAGTTAGCACTTGACAAATGACATGGCTTCCTAACTTTTTATTCCTGCCGAATACTTAAAAACCTGCCATAAAAAATGAAAATTTTGAGGTTCACCCTTTTTCGTTGACCATCCCTCATAATCTTCTTTGTTATGTTTGTAATATTTCATGCACACAATTCCATTTATCTTATCTTGTTGTGTAGCAACTTGTTGATTCTTCATCATTAGGTCCCTATATTTCAACTCGTAATCTTAGTATCTTCTGAATATCTTCAAAATGGAATTTTGTTTCGAAAATGTTTTAAAATTTGTTAGTTATAACACTAAAAAACAACTACTTTTGATTAAGTGCTTGAGTAACATTGAACATAAATTTTCGATTATAAAAGAATAAAAATATCCTTCACCCTTAAAGTGATAATAAAGATCAACCCCTCGAGGTCATCAATAATAAGGTCACCGAAAGGTTATCCAATAAAAAAAGTTAGAGGTTACGTTGCGTGTTTCGGTAACCATTTTTATTTATACACCACTATAAATAGATAACTACACAAGATAGAGACATTTACCGGCACCTCCACCCTAATTCCTTTGTGTGTAATTACTTTTATTGCTTTTTAAATATTTACTTTTCTGATATTCGATTATAATCTACTTATTTTGAAGTGAATAAATTTAAGTCGAGTTTTTCGTTGATATTTATTTTGAGTAGATGTGGTACGTAGGCAGTTTAAAGTGATAAAAATTTAGCATAATCTAGAAAATTCAGTAAAAAAAACAAAAAAGTGAAAACAACGTATATACGAGTGTTATTTTAACGAATTTATGGGTAATTTCAATTTTTAAAATTACCCTGTATTCATGTTTTAAAGGCCATTGACCGTGATGGCCGCATCGTTTTGACAACGTGTAGGATGGTATATAGGTTTTTACGTGACTCACGCTTTTATAAGAATAAACTGAACAATTTATTTGGTCAATTCTCAAAAAACTTTGTCATCACTACTTGGTATTTTGAACCGTATAATTAATTAACTAGTTTCATTATAATTCTATATTAAAATATGAAATCGTTTTTGGAAGAAATAAGATGGTTTTGTAAAAATAAAAACGAATCAATATTTTAATTATAAACCCATCAGAGTTTTTCAGTTTTAATCTAGTTTAAAACAAAATCTCATCAAGGCGTCCTTGTTGGTGGCGGCGATGTCGTCCGTTCAAGGCCTCACCTCGTAGTTTTGGTATAAATAGTATAAAACGGGGGCCTCGACCATTCTGAATAGAATGCGATATGTGGGTCGCTTTGGGTGACCCTCTCTTAGCTTAAAATCGATGCAGCTGCACCAGGACGCAAGGTCAAGGTCGACGTCCCGCGTTTACCGTCATACTGCACCATTTACGTCGTCCGTGGAAATACCTCCGGAGACCATGGACTTTTTCCGCAAACCGGAAATCACCAGATCACAGTTATTTCGTAGAAAACCTAATCAACTTCAATGCTAAAGTAAAATTTTATCTTTTATGGAAATGAAGATTATTATATTAAATGAATTCGTTGGGGTAACGCCGGGTTTGGGGTAAGGTTTTTAAGCCTATCTCAAATTAATCGAAAATGCGTTCATCTCGTCTTATTAAGATGGTGAAGTTTATCTTTTGAGAAAGAGATTAGGCAGAAATTCTGTCAAAACGTATTTGTTCAAAAGTATCATCCAAACGTAAGTCATACAGAAAAATACTTAATCCATTCATAATTAATTTTTTTCAAAATATGTACAAAAATAGTTGTTTTTAAGGACCTGGATTGACCTTTAACAGTGACCTCTCGCGACCTTGGCATTGGCAGTTTGAAGCCGCCGCGCACAGTTTCCCAATCGATAGCCGCTCCACCGGCCTTGAACTTTGCATGCGACGGTGGCGGAGGGCGCTCCGGCGCACTCGAAATAGCCCGCGGGGCGGCGTTCCTCGTGAAGTGTCTCGTTCGCGCGCGGACGCCACCGCCCCTCAGGCTCTATTTACGCGCATCAACAGGCCGCCGCCTTCTCACGTTCGGTTTGCCAAACTGGGGGCCGACGTTGTTTGGTGTGCAGCACGCGGCTCATTTTGCTGTTGGAAGCGGAACATGAATGAGCCTCACCGGTATCCATTCAAGGTAGCAAGGTCGATGATGAGAGTTGCACCAGGTCGTGGATGTTGATGAAAGATACAAGATAATTAATTACTTTACGTTTTTTTTTTAATTTCAATTTGTTTTCTTTTATTTTTTTAATCTTTTAGGTTAGTTCAGTCGAAAAGAAGCAGTTAATTTTTTATCTGCATATATTTACAATTTATTGAAATTATTCAATTTCTTCTTCAAAAAATGAGAAGGAAAAGGGGGCGCGTATCATCAATTGTGGAAAGCATCAAATTGAAAATAATAAATTCATAAGACAATTTAACTTTAGATAGATAATTAATCATAACTTAAAATCCTGAATAAAGTGAAGAAGAAGGTGTCTGAAAAATAAATCAATCATGTATCAACCAGGTAAAAATAGTGAGCGGTATGGATATATTTTATGACGGATGATTTTTTTATGAAGACATGCTTAGAATTGCTTAATTAACATAGTAAGAAAATAAAATAATTTCTTTTAAAAACTTATTATGTTTGAGTAGTAGGTAATTACAATCAAATAAAACATGAACTGTAATTACAATAATTAACATGATTACACTTTAGCTGGTCTTTAATTGTTAATTTTCTGTTTTACTAGTTTCGCCACTTGGACATCATCAGAGAGAATGTCAAATTTTATTAAGAAATAAAAATAATTCAAGTCTGGAAATCCATTCGATAAGTCAACGAATCCTCAACCATCCATTGACGTTTAACTTAAGGTGCGCTAGCATGCTCTAGCATGCGAAAACGATTTACTGCCCTCCACATTACATCCCCACCCGAAATATCACCAAATACTCTCTGTGTGTATCATGTAAATGAGGCCGAATATCATAATTTCTTCTATTCCTTGTTTTAAGCTCCTTCTTACCATCTTAACAATTTGTAGATCTTGCTTGTATAGAAATATAAGATAGAAATGAAGAAAATTATTATCCAATTTCAAATTTTCACAATATAAGCGATCGATGTTGATTACATAATCAAACAAAAAGGAGTCCGAACAATTTTTTAAATAAACCCTTTCAATTTTATTCTATGCTTTGAGATACGT